AGCGGACTGCAACGGTTTAGATGAAAAAACGGAATCTTAAAACACATTTTTGGTGTTTTAACAAAAGTGTTTAATTTTTAGATTTTGTAAAGGGATAAGTCAAAAAAACGTCCCGGTTGCCAAACGCGTTTTTTTGTTTTTGTTAAAAAAAACAGAAACGATAAAAACGTAACGGTTATCAAACGCTCCCTTATCAAACTTTCAACAATGTTTTGTTACCTCCAATATGTCAAATTCAATTCAAATCATTATTAAAATAAAATTCTCCAATTAAAAAAAAGGTTTTAAATTCCATAGCCACTGAAGTTTCTAAAATGACCAATTTGTATTGTAGGATTTATATTGTTACACACACTGTAAGGGGAGCCGCTCTTCATTAATGTAATATTGTAAAATACTAAGGAACCAAATACAGAGTTCTATCTCAAGCTATTCTTGAAAGTAAAATCAATTTTACACAGTCCACACAAAACAACATATCTTCCCAAAATAAAACATCTGACATGTTTGTTCATTGTCCAAACCCAGATACAGATTTAAATTCTGAACACACTGTCAAAAATCCATATCCTACAAACTTGGGAGGGACTCGGCCCTAATAAATTTCTTCAGAAGAGCTTTCTCCTCATCGATCTTCTTCTTCTCTGCAGAATCTCTAGGCTTCACCTTCCTCCTCTCTTCCAAAACCCATTTATAGAGCTCACGCTGCTCGTGCTCTGGAATAGGAGCACGGGTCACCATGGATGAAGGAATTGATGTTGATGTTGTTTTTTCGGAGATAGCAGATTCTTTGCTTGTAACTTGAGAGGACGGTATCTTCTCTTTGCTTTCCTCGTCTTTCTCAGATGGCTCTTTCTTCCAAGTTCTCGCCAGTACGTAAACTGCGTACAATGATGCAAGGAAAGAAATAATTTCAAATAGTATACTAGAAATTACAACCTCAAGGAACTAAAGCAAATACTTGCAATCAGATGATAATTGAACATATGAGGTAAGGCTAATTACGGATACACCCGCAGCTGTATCTTTGACTTGAATTGACTACTCGTCTACTTTTATTTTTGCAGATAAACCGTCTTGAGTAAATTTTTTTGCCTCTTTTACCCTCGGAGAAAGAGAATTTTTTTTTGACAAACATGCTCCCAGAGGGTAAAAGTGTCAAAAAATTTCACTCAAGGGATCTATCCATAATAAACAACACTAGAGGGATGGTAAGTAGCGTTAAATATCACACTAATACGGGCAGTCTGTAACAATTAACACTATGTGGTAGAAGTTGGCTGATTGGATCATCTGAAAGTCGATCGGTAACTAGGGAGTTTATGTTGATCCCTAAAAGTAGGAGCTTGTACCTTCTCCTGCCCAAAATGGCACCGATTTTGAGTTATTGTGAGCGCACTACTTGTAAAGCAAAGATAATGGCGGAAGCATTGTTTTATATGTCCCCGATATAGTCGCTATATACTTTGCTTGATGCAAAAAGATAAGATCTCAATATCCTCTACCGCTTTTGACAATTTTTGGGTGATCGATATTCCCGACATGATCGATATATCAGACAATATGTTTGCCAATATGTCCTTTTATTTGGCCCCTCAGAAAATAATAATGTTTTGCAAAATTTCTTCAAAGTCTTTTAACAAAAATTCCAACCCCATAAATGTTTTAGCAAATTTCTAGTAGGCTCTTTTCCCTAAGCAAGTTTCTACAATTAGTTAGTGATACTAACATATATTATTTATATTTTTATATTCTTAGATTTCATTAAGTATATTTAGATTACATTTTATGACATTAAAGTATATATGCACATAATCCGGAACGACACTCTGATATTTACTACATATCCCTAATATTTCCTCGATATTCGCAGTGGATGGGGATTTTTGCCGTCCTAAATTTCTCCAATATTCGATAATAAAACTTTGGGCAGAATAGGTGTTAAATCAATATTCTAAAATACCAAATAGATTAAAATTTATACTCACAATAAAACAGCATAAGGTCTTCTAAAATACTAGATAGATTAAAATTTATACTCACAATAAAACAACATAAGGCCCTTAACCCGATGTTTTAAAAAACCCAAAAACTCAATATTTGTTATTTTGGTGCATAAGATTTAACACATTGTTTGGTATGAGAATACAGATGCACACCAGAAAGGGGAGAAGAAAAGAATATAAGGGCACATTGCTTTAAAAAGTCTCCGGTCCTCCGCCTAGTCCACCTAGGCGTACGCCTAGGCCTAGGCAGTACCTAAACCGCCTAACTAGCGCCTAGTACCTAGACGATACCTAGATTGTCCACCTAGGTTTTGAGCGTGTTTAGAGAAGCATTATCTGCTTACGTAGACTGCACCATTTAGGCATTGATCATGATTTTCTATGTTGCAGGCTCCACGTTCTCCAACCTCCTTTAAACTCCTTTAACCTTCGAATACGAACACCTCCACTACCTCTTCCGACCTTCGGCAAAACTTCTCCGACCACCATTTGAATGAAGAAAGAAATCCGCCTAGACACCAGTTTGACACCAACTTTCTATAACATTAACATTTACTATCAACTATTATAATTAAAAAAAAAAATCTCATACGCTCTAGGCGACGGGACCAACTCCTAGGCCTCCTTGTGCTTTTTATAACCTTATTAGTTATTATTTTGGCTATTTAGCATTTAAGTATGCATGATTTATTATGGGTCTAGGATTGCTATCTATTTCTTTTTTGTAAATTTATATAAATTTAATACATATTTTTATTAATTATTATAATTAAATAATTTTAAAAATAACCAAACGCCTACGCGCCGCCTAAGCGTCTAGGCGTACGCCTAAGCGTCTAGGCGCTGGCTCCAACGCCTAGTCCGCCTAGCGCCTTCTGTAACATTGTAAGGGCAACATTCTTTCATTTATTTAAACATTCAATTGAAGAAATTTCAAGGGGCTTTGATGAAGAATAATAGCTCTGTAAATCTTTCCTAGTTCTATACCCTCTTCCTGTGACATTATTCTTTTATTTACTTAAACATTCAATTAAAGAAATTTCAAGGGGCTTTGATGAAGAATAATAGCTCTGTAAATCTTTCCAAGTCCTATACCCACTTCTTGTGTCATGTATCCATGTTCATATATATGCTTCAGAAAATGAACCAGATGCCATTTACAAGACAATTATATACTCATCAAGCATGGAGAACAAAAAAAATGAAGACATACAAAAGCATAAATATAGATGTCAACATCTGATTAGCACATATTTCTATATGCTATCTACTCGAGAAACGTTAACAACCCATATTTTACTATCAATTTTCTAGAGAAATAAAAGGAAAGAATATTTATATCCTTCAAACTAAGAATTAAAGCGAAAATGCATATATGACAAAATCTGTATAAGTTATGCTATAGCTCATTGCTGTTTATGTTTATTTACTAGACAACGATAACAATACCTTACAAATACTATACTCTTTCCAGTTACTAATCTAGAAGGCCATGTATCATCTCATCAAACTTGTTACCCAATAAAAGAGTTAAGAGACTTGGTCAAGTTTTTTAGAATTCAATAAGAACATTAGCCAATAAACTTATGTATAACCATTTACCATGACACTGTTGTCTTTCTAAAATCATAAACATTATTAACTACATAATCTAGTGCGATAGAATTTGTTCTTACACTACCAGCTAGTTACTTAATGGGAGAGGCCTTGATACTCCTAGGATATAACTAAGTTGAATGTTCCCCTTCCTTCATGTGATGAACCTATTGTCAGTGGTCAAGAGACAAACTTCATACGTTTTTATACTTCTAGCGTATGGGTTATGAGATTCTTTTAGCTATACTACAGAAAACCATCCATTTATCATCATTTTGTGTATGAGTAAAAGGTCATAAAAATGCATAATTGTTTGGTCAGAAACATTAATGATATATAAATCAATGTGAATAGAGCTGACTATCCACTTTCTTTGTATATGCACTTTGATAAATAAGCATAACTAGCTTAATTACACCCCTAATAGTATTGAAGTCTCCTTCATTTAACCTTATGACTACCTGGTGTGCTTTCAATGTAAAACCTTAATTGGTAACAATAAAAAGTTCCTAAAATAAGTGATTAATCAAGATAATCAAGAGCATGCATAATGTGACTTGGGGACTCCCTCCTAGCCCTCTCTCTGCAAACGCAAACATCTGGAACCACACATTTCATGCCAATTATAACCTCTTGAACCATTCGAAGCAATGCACATAAAGACAATAACCGAATTAAATTCTTTACACTTGTAGTAAAGATGCAAGAAGACATCCACAAACACGAAACTTCTCTACATCCTTGATTCTAGGTAAATCCCACAGTTTGTCATCTAGGCCAATAGTGTCTCTTCCTATAGTGGATTCCGGAGTTAGAAATACTTTCAAACTAATTTATGCAAAAAATATTGGTCATCGAGCTTGTAAAATAAAATTGGTTCACATAAGCAATTTGTAGAATTTTTACAACCGAACTATTGAAAAGCCTTCTATCTTACCGCCCGCTTGATATATACGAGTAAAACGTCTTCAAATGCAAAATTATTTGTTTACAACATTTTAATAGCATATGAATTAATGTGAGTGGACCTGACTATCCAATTTCTTTGAATATCTGACTCCCATAGGTGGGCATAACTAGCTTAATTTGACCCTGAGAGTAATACTTCCAATGTAAACCCCTAACTGGTAAGAATAATAACTTTCTTAACATAGGCAACAATCATGATAACCAAGAGCATACATAACGTGATTCTGGTGACTCCATCTAGGCCTTCTCTGCAAATTTAAACTTTGGAACCACGCATTGCATGTCAACCGTAACCTCTTGAACCTTCTAACCCATTCATACTGAAACGACAAGAACCCCAATTAAATTCAAGGTATCACTAGACCTTTGCATATACAGTAAAGATGCAAGAAGACATCCACAAAACCTACAAAAGGGAGTGATGGGTGCTCCAAAAAACTTGCTCCAACAATAAATCCCTTGGCAGCCCAAATGTCACCATCCTCCTCTTAGTCCTCTACGCTTTGGCATTCATTGAGAAGCTGGCAATTTTTCGCCATCAACCATCAACCATCAATCTAGGTCCAATACCACCTATACCTAAAATCCGATTCTCAGTGAACCTATCACATCGATTCATGAGGGATTTCAGTCCAATTCGACCTCTTAACACGACCACAAATCCTCTGCAGTCTTGATTGTTTAGCAATAACATCTCTTCCTCACATGGGTCATATGCAAACCAACCAGAAAGAGATGTCATTAGCTCACATAACAAATGTAGGTTTCTTAACAATCAAGAGTGTAGAGGCTTCAAAGCGCAGTTGATTATATGACTCAGCCCGATCTAAGAAAGTAGAGGCTGCTTCTGTATATCAAGATCCCAACTTTTTTTTGCTGCAGTAACAAAGGTGGAATTTCGCAATCTTTTAATTGAGAAAAGGAACAGTAAGAACCAAGGAGTTGAGCTAAAACCCTAAAAATTGCAACTTTATTACCTCCAACGGCGAGATTGGCGGGGAGGAGAAAGGGGAGGGCCCGGCGAAGGAAACTCTTCTTCGCTGCCGACGGCGGCAGAGGCGGCGGCGGCGGAGGCGGAGCAGGGGAGGCGGAGGAGGCCATTGAAGATGAAGGAGGAGGAGTTGATTTTGCTCTTGATTGCTTCTTGGATTTGCCTGTAATCAACGAAAGAAGTAAACCCTAAAAAGTAAAAATTACTGTTTTTGGATTTATTTTATGAGGAGGTAAGAGTCAGAGAGACAAACCCATCGAATTTTATCACTTTTTTTCTTTTTTGAGTGACAAGATTTGAAATAAAGTGAGATTGGATCGGCTTCGGTTTGAATTATTCAGAGCAGCCATAAAATTGGGTTAAATTACACTTTTAACTACTCTAAAAGTTCCCCTAATTTCTAACTCTGATATCCTAAAATTTCAATTTACCAAAAAGGTACTTCAAAGTTAGGTGGTAATTGAATTCATTATGGTATATTCTAAATTTAAGGAAAAGAGATTAGATCACGTCCATTGAATTCAGAATGTATGGCAATGATTGGAGGCATCGAGCGCTTCAATGATTGCCTGATTAGAGAAGATCCGTATCTCCAAAGTTTAATACATTCTATTTTCTAACCCCGCATTCTAAACACGTAATGCAATTATCACATAATAATATTCAAACTTTATACCTCAATATTGAAAAATAATTTTTTTTCTTGAGTTTTGTTCTTCCTCCTTCAGCCATTTAATCTTAAACGAATCAAAACTAAAATCACTTATCCTTCACTTCCTCATACACAAAATACTAAATTGTAGTAAAAAACAAGCCCTTTGTTTATCGGTACTCACAGCCAAAAGGAAGATTGCAAAAGGGTATTATACTTCAGAAAATCTTTTGGACAATTTAAATTTCAGGGTATCAAAAGTTTAAAGTCGCTAATTTTTAAGGCATTAAAGTGTAATTTTTCCAGAAAAAATTGATACAATTAAAATTCAAAATTAGGTCTGGTCCTTTCTCATTTTCCGTTTAATCTGAATTTTGATTCTATTAATACCTCCCATGTATAATACTTCAGAACCCTGCACAGTACGTGGTTCTGATATGATCTTAGTGACTTAATCTTTGTTTATTGATAATATTCTTTAGGGTGTTTTGCGTATATACCCCTCAATCTTCTGTATTTATAAAATTATTCTCCAAATCTTGGTATTTACTTTCACATTGATTTTTTTTTTCCTATCCCTTTTACTTACCAACTTCAGTTTTTAAACGGTATATCATACGAACCTATTGGAAACTGTTAGGAATTTTGACATTGTCTTGTTTAGAAAGCAATATTCTTAAGTTGTAGAAATAGAAAGACCCAATAAGCTAGTTTTGAGGCGTGATTTTTGCAAATATTGGAGATTCGAGGGGCATATATGCAAACAAACCTCTATTAGGTCGGGTTGGGTCGGTTGGAGAAACGGTTGCCTCAAGGGGTCACTTTTCTCCTCCTCGTGATGCTGGCATATATTCCATTTTATTCTGTACAGAGTGTCTTTAGCCTTAATCATGTTTCTATATAATTTAATCATCTTTTTGTTTGGTGACTCAGCATTAGGTACAGATATTATTATTTTACAGGACAAGTATAAATATATTATTGAAAATAGGTTCCATTAATATCCCCGATTCGAATCTGGTCCAAACATTTTATTTTGGAGTAGCGTGCAGTGTATACCTTCTCTATTGGATAAGATGTTAATTATTAGTTAGGTACTCATTGCATCTGAGCCAAATCTTAATTCATCAAATTCATGATTTATATAATGGGTATATGTTATGGTATTCCCACTTGCTAAAGTACAATTCATTGACAAGTGACCGACATATATCTGTTTGCAAGCAAGGCCCCAATCAACTTAGCGGCCCAACCCCTGTCGAAGTCACAATTTAACCAACTCGTCGAGAACTCAGCATTTTTCATGTCGACCCGAGAGGCGGAATCACTCTGCCTTCTTGTAAAAAATGACTTGCCAAAAGTCCACTCGACTGTCCAACGCCTCGCGAGGACGACTCGAAAGACTCTATCTCTTGGCTAAATTACAAAACCCGCTTAGGGTCTTCTTCTTCTTCTAGCTGCATGTCAGCAACGCAGTCCATATTGAACATGTCCCATCATGACCTTATCCCTGATAGCCTACATGACTTGTCACACCATGCGGGTTCTACTACGCCATCAATCACTTCCCGGATAATGCATAGACATTCTCTCCCATACTAAAGTGACTTCTCCCCCAGTCGTAAGTCGACATCTGTAAAGCAGAGGCTGACTCAACTGCCAGCCCACACCTTGCCACCGTCCTTCTGTGCTCGGTCGAAGTGACCAAACTACCCATTATGCACTGAGTATAAAGACATATACTATTCTAACCTAAAAAAAGAGGTGGGGGAGGGGGGGGGCTTCTTCTCTAAAGAAAAAAAGAAGAAAAATCGAACTCCTCCATCAGCAAAATATACTGCATACAAGAACTCACACAGTTCTTCACTTTTCTCACTCAAGCTCACTAGCTGACTTGATCATCGGAGGTACAACGGGGGAACCGGTCCCCGCCCTCTCACGAGCTTCTACTTGTGCAGATTTTTTAGCTACCCAATTCAAGAACTAGACATAAAGTCGGGGAAGGAAGAAGTTCCTTCATCAATCTCCTCTACCTCATCCCGGTGAGAGCATGAGCGGAACCGATCCTATCCTGAATCCGACTGATTGTGTGATCATAGCCATCAACAGTTTGGCGTCCACTATAGGGGGCCCTTCTCTTTTTCGAGAAAACATGTCAAGTTCTGAACTAGGGTCTGATGAGTCTCACCCTTAAAAAAAACACCGAAGTTGCATCACCCAAGCTAATTGGAGCCCCGAAGTTGTATCATCCAAGCTAATTGGAGCCCCGAAGTTGTATCATCCAAGCTAAGAAGGCCTAGTTTTGGCTAAGAAGAAACGACACACTCGTACTCTTCCATAGCCATAACAACCATTTTGGGAGTATACTTATCAGCTAGCCATCTATGAGATGGGCGTACTCCCATTATCCTTCAAGGCCTCTTCATGGAGAGCTTCTTGGTTGTCCTTCTAAAGAGAACAACTCCGTCTCCTTGGATCTCTTTCTCAGAAAGATCTCCATCACAAAAGTCGCCCGGTATCCTCTGGTGTTACCACACGACCTACAAAGACTTCACCTCTGTAGGCAATAAAAATTGCCTTTAAATCCTTATCAGAGAAGTTCAGAACAAAACTGCTAAAACCT